ATTATCAGTGGAGGAGTTTTCTCTGGTATAAACCTTCGCCCACTGCCTCCAAAAACAAGGAAGAAGGGAGGAGAAAGAAGTTTGAGATGTTTCTTTAAAGAAAGCACTAAACTTGGTAAAAGGACACAGCTTTCCTACCTTGCTCTCTGCCCCTCATGCCTCAGGATATCATAAATTTTTGATACCAATAAAACAGAATTTTTGATGAGCTGCTCTTTTGCATTAAAGCAACTTTACATGCAAAGATTGCATAATAGGAAGTAAAATTGAATTTTGCCTCAGAACAAGTTCTTATTATTAATTTAAGTGTTTTTTATATATTTTAGCAGCAGCTTATCATTCTATATATTTAATTTCTTTCAAGTGAGAACACTTAGCATTGGTTTCCTTATCTAAACAAATCTTTTAAGAGAACACATGTATAAAGTGGAAATGCAGTGTTTTGAATTTGTGCCTTAAGACAAACAGTGAAACTTTAAAAGGGGAAATAAAACACGGCAGAGGACAACTATCTCTATAACCTAATAGCAGCCTCCGTGGGACAGGAAAACATGTCGCTTTCTTTATGGCGAATGGGTTTTTTCCCTCTTTACCGCAGTGTTTATTCTAACCATATTGTGACAAACCTGTAAATACAATAAACCCCCATCGGAGCAATTCTGTTTAAGGCAAAGGATTTACAGCACCTTAGGTCTCAAGTACCCCACGATCCATTTTCTAACACTTCCACACACCACGATGCGCAGGACCAGCTCGCAAATATAAATTGTCTCTTCCCTGTTCTGGATGCAATGGGAAGAAAACGTTTTGCAGCACCTCACGCTGTGTTCAGAATTCACTACTGAAAAGTCACCATTTAAAAATCAAGAAAAGGCAGCACTTGAAAGCTTCCCCCGCCTCTTCTTCTTCTTCTTCTTCGCCTTCTTCTCCTTCTTGCATAAAACAAAAGTCCAGTGTGGGATCCTATCAGACCGCTGCATGCTACATTACTGAACACGCTACACAGGATTATGCAATAAGCTATTTAGAGAGACTCTGTGTGTGTATGTGTGTGCGCACGTAACTTCAGATTTACTGTAACCTTAGTGGAGTGAAACATAATGAATTAAAAAAAAAAACCACCACCATAACTGAAAATTGTCCAAATAAGGAGCAAAACAGCTTTTTCCCCCTCGATGGTGGGGAAGTACTCTTTCAGTCCTCCAAGGAGGGGACCAAAACTTAAAATTTAAAAAAGAAGAAAGAAAAGAGGGCCCCCCCCGGGAGC